GCGCGACGCTCTGCCCCCCATCTGCCTGGACCCCAGCCGAGAGGCCCCCGCGCACGCCCTCCTGCGCTGGCCAGGCAGGCGTCTGCACCGATCCTGGGCCCAGGAGCGGCCCGGCCAGGACCTCGGCCCGCGTCTGTCAAGGGAGGAAAAACCACCCAGACCGGACAATCGGCGTTTAGTTTACTAAACGGCCCTGGGCGTTTACTAAACAGCCTTGCCCTGATCGAGTCCTTCTTTGGGCGCGTTTACCAAAGGCCTCGCGTGTCGGGGTGGTTATCATCGGGGTGGATGTTCTGCCTTCTAGTCTGGCGGGCGCCCTCCGAGAGGAGTGTGCCGGCGCGCGGCGGCAGCTCGAGGAGGAGCCCCTGCGGCACCGCTAGGGAGCAGAGGGGTCCCGAGGAGCAGCGGGTGCCGAGGCTGTGCGCTGTCCTCGGGCCCTCGGGGGCCCCCCCAACGGGCCCCTCCTCCTGCTCCTCCTCCTCCTCCTCCTCCTCCTCATCCTCCTCCTCCTCCTCCTCCTCCTCTCCTCCTCCTCTCCTCCTCCTCCTCCTCTCCTCCCTCCCTCGTGCCTCCTCCCTCCTCCTCCCCCTCCTCCTCCCTCCCTCCTCCTCTCCTCCTCCTCCTCCTCCTCCTCCTCCTCCTCCTCCTCCTCCTCCTCCTTCCTCTCCTCCTCCTCCTCCTCCTCCTCCTCCTCCTCCTCCTCCTCCTCCTCCTCCTCCTCCTCCTCCTCCTCCTCCTCCTCCTCCTCCTCCACCCTCCTCCACCCTCCCCTCCTCCACCCTCCTCCACCCTCCTCCACCCTCTTCCTCCCTCCTCCTCTTCCTCCTCCTCCTCCTCCTCCTCATTCTCCTCCTCCTCCTCCGGGACAAAGAGCGTGCCTCTCGAAGAGCAAAAGATAGCATGAGCGCGAACTCTCTCGTACCTCCGCGCGGACCTCCGAAAGATGACGCTTGTGCAGCCTGCTGTTTCCCTAGTCCTGGGGGAAGTCCCCAGGGTCCAGGACCCGTTCCCCTCAGGGTCCTTCGCTTTCATGCCAATCGTCGGCAGTCGGGCGGAAGGCCGAGGGTGGCGATGCCCAGGGGATCTGGATCGCATGGCGCTTGAGCGCCGTTTCCTCCGGACACCTCGGCACGGTGTCTGCGAGTGGTCGTGTGTTTTCCAGAAGTGTTGCAGTGCGATTCCATGGTGCAGATCTGCCCCAGCGTGCCCCGAGTGCACGCGAATCAGATGTGCCGATTCACGTGCGAGTGCAGACCTCGTCGCCTCCGAACGACGGCGGTAAGATCCTGTGCCCCCTTGCCCTCCCTCCAGTGCGAGTTCCTCCTCGCGCTCCTCCTGCTCCTCCTGCTCCTCCTCCTCCTCCTCCTCCTCCTCCTCCTCCTCCTCCTCCTCCTCCTCCACCCTCCCCCTCCTCCTCCTCCTCCTCCTCCTCCTCCTTCTCCTCCTCCTCCTCCTCCTCCTCCTCCTCCTCCTCCTCCTCCTCCTCCTCTTCCCTGCGCGGCCATGCGAGTATGGGTGGCACTCGAACTCTCATCGTTCTCCCGCATCCCCTCCTGCTCCGCCGTGGTGCCCCCGCCCCCGCCCCCCCGCACGATGAAGAGAGGGAGGAGGAGGAGGAGGAGGAGGAGGAGTGAGGGAGGGAATGGCTGCAGCCTCTGCCCTGACCTCTGCTCGCTGCCCAGCTGCGCCCAGCTGCTCCAGGCCAATCCGCCGACTACGCTGAGATAAGGAGTGGCTTGCCGCTCCGTAGTGAAGCATTTTCGTGGTGGTTCCTCCAGCGCTCCTCGTGTACAAAGGCGCTCTGGGAGCAGAAAATGGGGGCTCCGTTCTGCACCCTACGGTTGTCACGGCAGCAGATTGACCGCACCCAAGCCCAGACCAGGTGACCAGATCTTGCTCCACACGGGCCGCAGAAACGATGACCGCTAGATATTCCAGAACTCTTGAAACACATCCTGAGCCAACGCTTCATGACATCTGTCTCGATCCAAACAATTATCCCGGCAAAGCAACCTAACAGCGATGTGTAGGAGCATAACTAGAAGCATTCCCCTTAAGATTCAGATGAGAATCCAGTTGTAGAATTCTGCTGCTCTCGCAGTCGTAGTCGCATTCGCGATGACAGTCGCAGTGGCAACGGCAGTCACAGTCACAGCCTCAGCCTCAGCCTGCCTCAGCCTCAGCCTCAGCCTGCCTCAGCCTCAGCCTGCCTCAGCCTCAGCCTCAGCCTGCTTCAGCCTCAGCCTCAGTCTGCCTTCAGCCTCGGCCTCAGCCTCAGCCTGCCTCAGCCTCAGCCTGCATCAGCCTCAGCCTCAGCCTCAGCCTGCCTCAGCCTCAGCCTGCCTCAGCCTCAGCCTCAGCCTGCCTCAGCCTCAGCCTCAGCTTCTGCCTCAGCCTCAGCCTCAGCCTCAGTCTGCCTTCATCCTCGGCCTCAGCCTCAGCCTGCCTCAGCCTCAGCCTGCATCAGCCTCAGCCTCAGCCTCAGCCTGCCTCAGCATCAGCCTGCCTCAGCCTCAGCCTCAGCCTGCCTCAGCCTCAGCCTCAGCCTGCTTCAGCCTCAGCCTCAGTCTGCCTTCAGCCTCAGTCAGCCTGCCTCAGCCTCAGCCCATCAGCCTCAGCCTCAGCCTCAGCCTGCCTCAGCCTCAGCCTGCCTCAGCCTCAGCCTCAGCCTGCCTCAGCCTCAGCCTCAGCCTCAGCCTGCCTCCTCAGCCTCAGCCTCAGCCTCAGCCTCAGCCTCAGCCTCAGCCTGCTTCAGCCTCAGCCTCAGTCTGCCTTCAGCCTCGGCCTCAGCCTCAGCCTGCCTCAGCCTCAGCCTGCATCAGCCTCAGCCTCAGCCTCAGCCTCAGCAGCAGCCTCAGCCTGCCTCAGCCTCAGCCTCAGCCTCTGCCTCAGCCTCAGCCTCAGCCTCAGCCTCAGCCTCTCATGCCTCGGCCTCAGCCTCAAGCCTCAGCCTGCCTCAGCCTCAGCCTGCCTCAGCTCAGCCTGCAGCCTCAGCCTCTGCCTGCCTCATCCTGCCTGCTCAGTCTCAGCCTCATCTGCCTTCAGCCCTTGCCTCAGCCTCAGCCTGCCTCAGCCTCAGCCTCATCAGCCTCAGCCTCAGCCTCAGCCTGCCTCAGCATCAGCCTGCCTCAGCCTCAGCCTCAGCCTGCCTCAGCCTCAGCCTCCTGCTTCAGCCTCAGCCTCAGTCTGCCTTCAGCCTCGGCCTCAGCCTCAGCCTGCCTCAGCCTCAGCCTCAGCCTGCCTCAGCATCAGCCTGCCTCAGCCTCAGCTTCAGCCTGCCTCAGCCTCAGCCTGGCCTACAGTTGGCTCTGGGCATTCAAAATCATGCCCAGGAATGGAGTTCTGGGAACTCGAAGACCACGAAGTGCCCTACAGTTGGCTCCCGGCATTCAAAATTTGTCCCGGGAATGGAGTTCTTGGAATTCGAAGAGCACGAAGTGGCCTACAGTTGGCTCCGGGCATTCAAAATGTGGCCCGGGAATGGAGTTCTGGGAATTCGAAGAGCACGAAGTGGCCTACAGTTGGCTCCGGGCATTCAGAATGTGGCCCGGGAATGGAGTTCTGGGACCTCGAAGACCACGAAGTGCGTAACTGTTTGCTTAAAACGACTTCCGCGGATTCTCCCCGGATCCTGCCCGGACCCCCCTGGGGAGTCATGATGTTTTCTTTTGAAACCATTAGAAACCTATCAGTCTTCGCTGTTAGGTAAAAAGGCTTCGGTCGTCATCTTACGGGAGGGCGGCTGGGGCGTCTCAACTTAAAAACCCTCCTGGCTTCTAAGAACTTGGAAGCCTCCAGACCGTCTAAGATCTTCTAAGAAGGCCCCGCCTTCTTAGGAGGACGCCCCCCTCACACCATCGCATCACAGACATCCTGCGTTTCGATATGTTCGAGACACGGGCCCCCGACCTTTCGACCATTTCCCCAGCTGCTTTTTGACGGCCCCGAGGCCCAGTGAGGGCCCCACGAGGCCAAACACAATTACAGAAATAAGTTTCAATGACAACGATCACAACGATCGTTGTCGTTGTCATCGTCATCGTTGTGATCATTGTTTTCGTTGGTATCGTTATTATCGATGATATCGTTGATCGGTATCGTTGTTATCGTGGTTTACGCCGGATGTCTGGGCTTGTGCGCGCCGTCAGCAGACCACAGCTTGCTAGGGCGGTCCACGTCGGGAGCATTATGAGACGGGGGTCAATGCAAACGGGGGTCAAGCCAGGTCACGCAGGATCCTGCAGAGCCAGGGGTGCATCGGCCCAGGCTTGCGCGCAGGATCTTGCAAGATCCTGCAGGATCTCGCAGGATCCTGCAAGGCCTGACTGACCCAGGCTTGCATTGACCCGGGCCAGTGCGTCCCCGACACCTCTCGAGCGCACGCAAGAGTGACCCTTCGCTGGAGTGACCTCTGGTGCGGGCTCACGGGGGTCCCGCAGCACCGACCGGCGCGCTTGCATTTTCACCGAGCGTGTTCCATTACTCGCAAAGTGCCTACTCGCAAACTTCAGGAAAAAACAGGTCTGCATCGATGTAATATTTCATCGCAAATCTCCCGTGGCGGATCCGTGCCATTTGCGAGCAGTGACCTTGCGAGCAGCGGAACGTGCCTGTCTGCACGTAGTCCCCGCCGGCCCCCGACCGCCGCGCACCGCAGCGGCGCTTCTCGGGGCTCTCTTGGAGCGCTTCTTGGGGCGTTTTTGGAGCGGCCTTGGGGCCGTTTGGATCATGTTGGGGAGCCAACTCGAGCCATCTTGGAGGCCATCTTGGGCTATCCGACCATCTTGGAGGTCATCTTGGGCTATCTGGCCATCTTGGAGCCAGCTCGAGCCAGCTTGGGCTATAAGGGCCATCTTGGAGGCCATCTTGGGCTCCCTGAGACCGCTCGGGGGCCTCTTGGGGGGCCCATCGGTCGCTCCCTCGCCCAGGGCCACCTCTTGCGTGCGGGCCGAGCCTCCGTGCCCAGGCCGCGGCAGTCTATAGGCTCCGCGGCCCCCCCCCCCGGGGGAGCACGCGCGCCGCGCCCGCGATGAGCTCCGCGGCGTTCGCCCCGCCGCCGCGGGGCGCGGAGGCGGCGGGGGGGCTCGCCGCGGTCGCCGCCGAGGGCGCGCCCGCGGGGCAAGGGGCCTCCTCCCCCTCCTCGTCCTCCTCCTCGTCCCTCCTCCTCGTCCCTCCTCCTCCTCCTCCTCCTCCTCCTCCTCCTCCTCCTCCTCCTCCTCCTCCTCCTCCTCCTCCTCCTCCTCCCCTTGTCCCTCCTTCTCCCCTCCCCTCCTCCCTCATCTTTCTCCCTCCTCCTCCACCCTCCTCCCCTTCTCCCTCCTTCTCCCCTCCATCCTCCTCTTCCCTGCTCCCTCCTCCTCCCCTTCTCCCTCCTCCCTCCTTACTCCTCACGCCTCCCTCCTCCCGCCTCCCACCCCCCCTCCTTCCCTCTCCTCCTCTCTGCATTCCTTTTCCCTGTGAATAACTCCTCCCTGTCGCACCTCGAGGCGTGTCGATAATGTGGGCCAGGCGTTCCGTCTGAGACCTCCTCACCGTGCATGATCCCTAAATTGGTAAGTGGCAACAGTTTCACACAGGGCGGGCCGTGTTCAAGATGTGACTCTCGCCATAGCGTCGCGCACATTCGTTCTCAACAGGCTTAAGAGCTTCACAGATAGAGGGCGGGCAGTTTTCAACATCTGTTTCTCGCCTTCGTGCCGCGCCAGTTTGCTGAACAAGCTTGCACGAAATTCACGGATAGAGGGCGGGCCGTTTCCAAATGTGGGTCTCGCTTTAACGTCGCGCACATTCGCCTAAAAGATCACACAAGCTTCATTGATGGAGATGGAGGGCTGTGATGTTCTGGCACGATTCAGGACCATCAGGACGCAACAGGAACGTGAGCTCGCAGCATTCAAGTTCCAAGGATGGTGGTCTGGTACAGTTCAGGATTTCCAGACGAGTGTCTTCCAACGGGGCACTTCCCTCAGTGAAAATCAACATCTGCAGGGACTTGTGAGGAGGGAAATTGGAGGGAGGGCGTTATTGCAACATTGTGGATGAGTCTTGAGTTTACTCTGGTCTCCTTCTTCCTCCTCCGCCTCCGCCTCCCTCCTCCAGGTTTCGCGCCAATGGGGCTCAGGCACGTGAAAAGCCACAGTTCCATGATCCAGGTTCGGAAAGACATGTTCTCAGTGCGAGCTCCAGGGAAACGACCTGACTGACAAGTGTACCAAGCTCGGTGCCAGCCACGGAGCGGCATCCGAGAAGGACGTGCTTTATTTTCTCTTGAGGGGTGCTTGGATTTGTCGCCTCAGGCTTGCAGGCTCACTGCTCGTCTCGCCGCCCAGCGTGTGGAGGAAGAGGTTCACGACCACCAGGGCTGGAGAGGCCACTCGACTCCTCGGCCCGGGCTCGGGGGTTGGCACCCCTCATTCGGCGACAGAAATCCTATACGGAACCCTTGCAGACAAGCTGCCTAGAGCCATTGTCTTGCATTGTCTTGCGTTGTCTTGCATTGTCGCAGGAAAATCAGATAGACGGAGATCTGGGCATCGGGGCGCGAGCCAGACGGTGTTTGGGCGATGCCGTCGACTGCTTTCGTGATGACCTCGTTCTGCGGCACACGCGGAGAGAAGACCAGCACAAGGGCAGACGACAACAATCGGGGCTCAAGGGGCGGGGGTCAGTGCAAACGGGGGTCAGTCAGAGCGCCAGATCTTGCAGGATCCTGCCAGGCCTGACTGACTCATGTCTGGATTGACCGGGGTCAGACGACCCCCGAAACAGAACGAAAACACAAAACTCAAAACCTTGTCCAGCTCGAACCCTGCGGGGCTCCTGGCCCCCCCTTCCTGGGCGCACCCCGACCTGGGCCGCCGCTCAACGTCGTCGCCATGGTCCTTCTCCTCCTCCTCCTCCTCCTCCTCCTCCTCCTCCTCCTCCTCCTCCTCCTCCTCCTCCTCCTCCTCCTTCTCGTCGTCGTCGTCGTCGTCGTCCTCCGAGGCGCCGCCGCGGCGCTGGCGCTGACGAGCGCGGCGAGGAGCGCCGCTGGCTCCAGGGTGGTCTCCGCCGGCGCGCCGCCCGCTGGACACGCCCCTTCTGCGCGGGGGCACGGGGGCCACGGTCGAGGCCTCCCAGATCGGGTCAGGGAGGAGGAGGAGGAGGAGGAGGAGGAGGAGGACGAGGAGGACGAGGAGGACGAGGAGGGAGGAGGAGGACGAGGAGGAGGAGGGGAGGCGGAGGAGGAGGACGAGGACGAGGAGGAGGAGGAGGGAGGAGGATCGGTCAGCACACGCGGCTCGAGGCTCGAGGTTTTCGAACGTTTTTAGGGGAACAAGAAGTGGCATAAACATAAAAACTCTGAGGTCCGCGCGGATTTCTCGGATCCGCGCTGGGGCCCCCCGGCGGCGCCTCCGGCGCCGCCCCTGGCGCGCTCCGCGCGCCAATGATGGGGGTCCAGCGCGGATCCGAGAAATCCGCGCGGACCTCCGAGTTTTTATGTTTATGTCACTTTTTGTTCCCCTAGATTTTGAAAATTCTCGAAGGCTTTCCAGCCTCGGGATCCTCTCGGGCAGCTGCGGCTCGCCGGGGGCGTTCAAGGGGTGCCCATATCGTCCCGAAGGGCCGCCAGAGGGCCGAGTGATGGCCAGAACACCAGACACCCTCGAGTCACGACAAGATCACGACGGAATGGTTTCCCAAAATTTCCGGCCGCTGGGGGCCCTCGGCAGGCCTCGGGGCTGTCCAGAAACGGCTCAAGACGAAGAACCGGTCCTGGGAAATGGGTCGAGACCTCTCGAGGTCGACGTTGTGAATAAATCATGACGCCGGGATCTGCGGCTCTAGGTCGCCCAGATCGGGTCGGAGGATCGTGCCGCATCGTCGATGCATCGGCGATGCGGCTTGACGGAGTTCTCCACGCCGACGTCGCCGATGCACCGCCGACGTTTCCGATGCATCACCGATGCATCGGCGATGCATCACGATCCTCCAACCCTAATTATCTACCCGGACCCCATTTGGGAGGAGGATGCGAAGACCGACGTCAGCTCCTGTCCATTTGAAACACAAGGCCGCCTGCCCAACAGCGGCCGATGTCGGTTTTGGACAGCATGTTGTTGGAGGCATCGTACTAGTTTTTTCCGTACCCGTTTCGGGAGTCCAAATCTCTACTCCCGGGAGCCTCGATCACGGGTGCTAGCACCACGGGTGTTTCGCATCTTTGGATAACCAGTTATCGTAAGTCCCCCGCGGGTTTTGAGCTCAAGCATTGGGCTTGGCGGATGTCGCAGATTGGACGGCCCAGTCCTCGCGAAGGGCGTTAGCCGTAGATGCGCCTCGCGCGCGCGTGCCGACTCGTAGGACAGATCCCCCAAACCGTGCCTTCACTTAGTGGGGTCGTACTCGCGTTGCTAAGTAGTTGGATGGGTCGGGCGACGTTTCTCTACGTTCGCGCCCGCGCCCGCCCTGACCTTACGGCGGAACTTATAGCGCAACAGATTGAGAGGATCTCGCTTCGTTCGCGCCAGAGTCCGCCCCTATGGCGCAATTTAAGGCACAGCATACGGCACGACACACTGGATGGGTCGGGCGAGGTTCCGCCACGTTCGCGCCCGAGCCCACCCCTATGGCCGATGGCGCAATCAACGCGGCAACCCACGGCGCATCTTATGGCCATGCCGCAACCTCTGGCGCAACCTGGGGGTGCAACATGTACAACGTAGGTTGCACCACAGTAGTTGAACCGCTTAGATGACAACGCCGAAATTGCACCGCCTGCAGTGCGCTTCGTATATGGCACATACTGAACGCACTAGCTCACTGTTTGGGGCGCGCGCTGGAAGACATATGCAACCCGCGCCTTTGTACTTATCCCTACGTGTCGCCCTCTTCCCCTCCTGCACCTCGCCCTGTTCGTTCATCCCTCCGTATCCCGCCTCTCCACCTCCACCGGATCCTCATTAGTTTGGTTTCGGTGCCCGCCGAGGGGCGACCATGACGCCGCCGCGAGCAGACGAGTGAATTTCCACACCGTCGAGCTGCTTCTCGGCTGACCATTTAGCGCGAGGGCCCATCAAGGAAATTCTTGACGCTTCGCGTATCTCCACCAGCCCATCCAGAAGCGACGCCCAGGCGAGTTGAGGTGATGAGGGAAGTGTAGGAGCAAAGAGAGGGACAGCCGAACCGTTCGACGGAGGAGGAGGACAAGGAGGAGGATGGATGGATGAGGGAGGAGGGAGAAGGATGATGAATATGATGAGGAGAGGAGGATGGAGGAGGTGGCGGAGGGGGAGGAGGGATTGGGTAGGCGGATAAGGAGGAGGAGAAGGAGGAAGAGGAGGAGGAGAAGGAGGGGGGATGATGATGATGATGAGGAGGAGGAGGAGGAGGAGGAGGAGGAGAACAAAACTGACGAACATGAGAGCCTCCTACGATGTCTCTTGGGAATTATTTTGGATGCCTCTTGGAGGGTATGGGGGGCATCTTGGGTGACTCGGGGATAGTCTTGAAGCCTCTTGGGGGCCTCTTGGTGGCCTCTTGGGGGCTTCTTAGGGGTTCTCTTGGGAGCCTCTTGGAGGCCTCTGGAGACCCTCTGGCAGCCTCTTGGGGCGCTCTTGGGAGCTTTAGGGGCGCTCTTGGGCCCGATGCGTCACGGACTCGGTGCGTGACGACGTTCCGAAACACGTAAAGCAACATGTCACGGATTCGGTGTTTCTTGGGCCCTTTTTGGGTTTTCCTCTGGCATCTTGGGGCGCTCATTGGGGCTTCATCGGCTTCCAAGAGGCCCCAACAAGGCACGTACTAGCAAGCATCCCGCCGAACTCTTTCCGACGGGTTCGACCCAGGACTCACTGGAGGGTCTTCGCAGGGTCTTTGCATGTTTTTTCGCAGGTCATTGCGATGGTCTTTGCAGGGTCTTTGCAGGAGGAACTCTGCAGCGTACTGCAGGGGGTCCATGGGGAGAGAGTCGGGAGATGGGGGTTATGAGAAGTTGGAAGGCGAAGCTCTCATAACCACGTCACACACACACACCCAGGGACTGGTTGGATTTATGCGAGGTGCATTGTTTAGGTGATCGAAAAATCAATGTTCGAACACATGTTTTCGTGTTCGAACAATTTCTCTGGTGTTCGAACAATCGTTTTCGTGTTCGAACACGTCTCCGGTGTTCGAACAGTCGTTTTTGGTGTTCGAACAATTTTCTGGTGTTCGAACACTCGTTTCCGTTGTTCGAACAATTTTCTGGTGTTCGAACGGTTTTTTCCGGTGTTCGAACATTTCTGTACATATCGTTTTTGTACTAGTGCTAACAACCACGCAATGTTCGAACAACGTTCTTGTTGTTCGAACATTTTTTCGATGTTCGAACAATGTCGCGGCCGTCGTTGCACGATCGCGCGTACGAGTAACGACCGTACAAGTCGGCTGCGTCGGGACGGCGCTCCCGCACATCATGTCAAAGCCTGGGCAGAGGGGTCTGCTCGCAGGGAGACGGGGGCAACTGTGGGCCGAAACGTGTTCGCAGGGATATCCCTGGGGCACACTTTTGGGGGGCCCTCGTGGGAGTTCCGCTGGGGCTGCGCGGGGCTCTCCTGGTGCGTTCTTGGAGCCAGTGGGGGGCTTCAATGAGGCCCAGCGGGGCCCCAAGGGTGCTCATAAGGCGGCCCCCAACGGTATCATGCCAAGGGCTTTTGGTACGTATGATATCCATGGGGGCCTTTTTCTGCCCCTCTCGCTCACTCTTTTGGACCCCTCTTCGAAACTCCGTTGGTGGTGTCTAGGGCCTTACAGTGCCCTCTATGGGGTTGGGGAAGGGACCCCGAGAATGCCCAGGAGGGCCACCAGAGGGCCCACAACCAGCGCCCCCCAACGATGGGGGGCCCTTTGGGGTCTCTCCGGAGCCCTTCGGGGCATCTCTTGGAACTCTCTTAGGGTCGTCTGGGGACGTCCTGGGCCATCTTTGGGGCCGAGTGACGGCCCCCAGCTGGGCCAACGACATCGTACCAGGGGCTGTTGGTAATTATGATGAAGAATGTCTTAGGCCCTTCTCGGGCCCCTCTTGGATGCCCTTTCACCCCCATATTGGAGGTCTGTTGTCGCTGCGTGGGGCCCGTCTGTGCCGTCTTTTGGCCAGAGGAGGGCTTAGCCGGGGGGCCCCCAATTCGCGCTCCCCTTCGGGAGCCCCCAAAATCGTTTCTAGGACCCCTCTTGGGGCGCTCTTGGAGCGTTCTTGGGCGCTCTTGGGGCCGTCTTTGGGCTCTCTTGGGCCTCTCTTGGGGCCCTCTTGGGCCATCTTGGAGCCATCTTGAGGCCTCGCGAGGCTATCGGAAGCGAAAATGCGAGAAAGCAAAAATGCAGCTCTTTGGAGGTCTTGGAAGCCTCTTGGAGCCATCTTGGAACGTTCTTGGGGCCTTTTGGAGCATCTTGGGAACCATCTTGAAGCATTTCAGGCTATCTTGAGCCATCTTGGAGATCGTCTTGGGTTCCCTGAGGCGCTCTTGGAGCCGCCTTGGGCGAACAAGTACCCTCTGACACCTCGCGCCCCCCGCCCCCCCGTCCAGGTCCAGGGGAGGGGGTAGGGGGAGGGGTAAACCCCTCCCGGAAGGGAAGAAGGGGTTCGGAAGAGGAACCTCTCTAGACGACATACGCCCTCAAGGGCTGGTGGGACTCGTCAGCCAGATGGCGTTCATCTCCAAAACGCGTTGCATCACAGCGTGCCCAGTTTCATACACAAGGTACACGTATCGTTTTTGCATTTTGTGTGGCTCGTTAAGGAGCGGCAGCAATATGTGGCACCAGCCACTGCCCAGACTCATGCCACGTGCCACGGCGCCTCATGTTTGCGCGCCTCAGATCCCCTGACCATACCAAAATCACCACTAAACCCAACACGCGCGTGCGCGCAGAGCGTGCGCATCGACTACACGCACACAGCAAGAAACGTTGAAAAGGAAACAGGCAAGCCGATGAGCGAACACTTTCTCGAATGCGCATCCGACGGCGCTGACGACGACGCCACGGGCCCGACATTTCGCATGCGCATTAGCGCCTGGACCACGCCAGCACATGCGACGTCAATGCCTTTACGCGCAAGAAGCGCGCCTCAATACAGGCACACACGCGCGCACAGTTTGCCTCTTGCGCCCGCGCAGCTTACTCACCACTGCCGCATGCAAGCAATGCGCGCACCAGGGCAAGTACATCGCAACTCTGTCGCAATAGTGAGCACGCATTGGTTTTGGCATCGTTGCCTTACCCGTGCGCCCCATGTTCGCGCTTGAGGCTCTGCCTTGCTAGATAGAGTGAACGTAGGTTTGTTAACCGACGCTCACGCAGCCAGACAGGATAATCGCCGGTCCTATGTTTCGAAAAACCAGTGCTGGAAACACCCGTCATCGGTATCGGCAGTACTCAGGGGCAAAGGCAACGGAGATTTGGAGGTTTTCGTCGGTCTCCGATGCTTTCAGGATTTGTGTGTCGCTTCCTGGAGGTTTGCTCCCTGCCCTTGGGATGCGTTCCAGCAGCTGCGCCTCGCCGAGAGCGTTCCGAGGCTGTCCGAATCGTCCCGAACGGCCCACGTTGTGACCCGAACACCGAGGTCAGGGAGAATTTCGATCCACTCGGTCCGACCCGACAGTGATATCGGCCAGCCCGATCCGATTCGGTCCCGTCGTTCCGACGATCCGATGCGGCCCGACCCACACAAAAAACACGCCCCCGTCCCATATCGCGCTCGCACTGTCCTCCCCTGTCTCTCGGCCTCTCACTCTCTCTCTCTCTCTCTCTCTCTATCTATCTATCTATATATATATATATATATATATATCTAATATCTATATATCTCTTTTGTGTTCTTTTGCTTTTTTTGTTTCTCTCTCTCTCTCTCACTCTGTCTCTCTCTCTCTCTCTCCTTCTCTCTATATATACATGCATATTTCCCCTATCTCCCCCAGACATGGCCCGAAAGTGCACTCGTGGCTACGCCGAGCGGATGGGGCCCGCTTGCTGACACGGTTTTCGCTCTTCGCAAGGAGGGGGGCTGACGCTGTTGGGCTCTCGGTTGTGAGCAGGCGCCGGTCATATGCGGAAGGCCGCCTGGGTACCTGGCCCAGCGCTCAGAAGGGAGCACCTAAGAGAGTTGTGAGGCGCTGTTCGATGTTGTTCCGGACCCCCTCCCCACATCTTCTTAATCCATAGTCCTCATCATCATATTCCTCCTCCGATGTCTCCCACGTTCCTCCTCCTCCTCCTCCCCGTCCTGCTCCTCCTCCTCCTCCTCGTCGTCGTTATCATCAGCATCATCATCCGCATCCTCATCCTCATCACCATCATCACCATCATCACCATCATCATCAGCATCATCCTCATAATCAGCATCGTCATCATCATCATCATCATCATCATCATCATCATCATCATCATCATCATCATCATCATCCGCAGCGGCAGCATCATACGCATTGTCATCAGCATCAACATCATCAGCAGCAGCATCAGCATTTGCACCAGCATCATCAGCAGCAGTATCATCAGCATCCGCATCATCGTCATCATCACATTCCTACTCATCATAAACATTAGCATCATCAGCATCATCATCATCATCGTCATCGTCATCAACAGCATCATCATTATTACCAGTATCGTCATCATGATCCTCATCACTTGCATCAGCATCATCATAATCAGCATCAGCAGCATCATCACCATCGTCATCGCCATCATCATCCTCATCATCATCAGCATCGTAATCATAATCATGATCAGCAGCATCATCATTGTCGTCGTCATTATCATCATCATCATCATCATCATCATCATCATCATCATCATCATCATCAGCACCACCAAAATCATCATAATCAGCATTCCGTAGGCCCCCTGCCCTTGGACCTTGTCCCTCGGCGTAAATACCCCCATCCTGGGTGGGCGTGAGGGCCTTGGGGAGGCAGTGCTCTTGGCTCACGGAGTGAGGGCTGCGGGAGGCACCCCATGGAGGGTGCCGTCGTTCGGTTGCCGATGACGGTGCGGCGCGGCGTGCGGCGCGGGAGACCGCAGATCGGTTGGTTCAGCGCTTGTCCGCGGAGCTGCTCTCGGTGCAAGGGCACCGGCGAGGGCGTCGAAGCCCCGACCGCCAGGGCTAGAGGCGCGCTTTGGAGCGACGCGGAGTGATTTGCGCGCTGGCGCGCGGATTTCGTGCCAGGTGCTGGACGCTGGGAGACACTGCCCTCGCCCAGGCAGGGCGGCATGCGGCGCAACTGCGGGTTCATCGTCTTCTCCTTGGCGGGCGCGGTGAAGGAGTTGGAGGGCCGACATGCCGTTGGTGTCAGGTCTCCCCTGCGGGGTGCACCCCCGGCAGAGGACGGCCCCCGGCGGAGTCCTGATCGGCCGACGCGGAGGCGAGGAGGTAGACGACGAGCTCGACAGGACCTCGCCGCCCCGCTGATCGATGACGACGGCGTCGACAGGGATGACGTGCAGGAGGGTGGAGAAGGGGCAGGCAGGCACATCCATTGGAAGAGGCACCAGGGGGCGGTGTCCCCGTCGAAGTCGATCTTAAGGCGGCGGGGGCAGCCTCGTGGACGGCCCTCGAGGGCGCCAACTGCACTCCTCGAAGCGCTATTCGGTGATGCGGCCGAGCCTCGGTAGCCGCTCCTTGTTCTGCTGCGCCTCCGCGCAGTTTGAGGTGCACTCGCGCGTGAGGAATGAGGCTTCGCTCGGGGCGCCAAGCGGGTACGAGGTTTCAAAAATAGTAAAAAAAAAATCGTATGGGACGATGTTTGAGTATTTTTGAGCGTTGTTGGTATATCTTTTGTCTATTTTGAATGTTTCGTCCAACATTCCTCCGTAGGGGGACACGCCCGACACAACGATAGCGTTCGAAAGGCCAGGCTTCGCTACATCACGAATGCCTGCGCCGAGCCGGCTAAAGCCTTTGGGCTCTGCCGCGTGTTCCGTCCAGAGGTGGCTCTGAGCAGCACCGCCCGGTGCTGGGCGCCTCAGGTCTGCCACGGCGATTGATCGCGGCCGACATGGTTGGCGCCGCCCTCGTGCGTTTGTGCTGAGCCTCGTTTGTGCCATGTGTCGATGGCACGGTCTGCCGTTGCGTGCGAGGCGCCGAGGGAAGCGGTTCGGGTTTGGCCAGCTGCTGAGGATAATCTCCACACTGTCTCTACAGCATTGGGTCATCATCATCATCGTCATCCCTCTCCTCATCCCTCCTCCCTCCCTCCCTCCCTCACCCTTCTTCCTCCTGTGAAGGACCCGCGGGGATGGAGCTGGCGATGAAGGCGGGCGCTCCATGTGTCGGCTTTCGCGCCCGCGGATCTGTGCCCCCCCCCCCCATTGCAGTACAGTGGGGCTGGGGCACCGTGGAGAATGGAGGTAAAGGAGGGGGATGGAAGAGTGAAGGGCGGGGAGAAGGAGGGGAGAAGGTGGACAGACAAGCCAGGCGCGCTCGCACCTGATCTGGCATCATACCTGTCCCACCCATTCCTTCCCGTTGCGCTGTTTTTCTCAATCCGCCGACGCGTGTCATAGCGGGCCTGAAAGTCCGAAAAGAAACTTGCCGTGTTATGCGCAATCGGAATTGGGGAGCTGCGTACATTGAGGGGGGAGTGGCGGATCAGCAGGAGAATGGGCAGGAGGAACAGGAGGAGGATGAGGAGGCACGAGGACGAGGACGAGCAGCAGCAAAAGGAGCTGGGGTTGAAGGAACGGGAGGATCAGGAGGACCAGGGGCAACCGGGGGAGGGGAAAGGAGGTGTGGCGACAACGATGGGGAAAGACTCGGGAGCAGAAGAGAGGCCCGCCTTGGGGGCGAGCGTGCCGTTCTGGCCAGCGGGAGCGAAGCGCCGATCCTGCATAGAGGCCCGCGCTGCAGCGGCGCCGCAGCACCATTTTGCAATCGGGGGGGGGATTAGGAGACACGTCTCCCCACCCCCCGGCCACTTCTCGGGGAATCTGTCGTGAATTGATCAGACACTCCCATTGGTTTGGTGGCGAGCCCCCGCGGGGAAACGCCGTTTTCGACACCCGCCCCGAACAGAGGAACTCGCCGGGGAATCTGGCGGCCTTGTGGATTAATGTTCGGACTTGCCCCCCCCCGCCGGGGAAACAATTTCGGGGAATACACGAACTCCTTCCTCGCCTGCCAGGCCAGCGAGCTTGCGGAACGCATGGCGCCGGGCCGTGGTTATGTTTCCACATCGCCCACCGCCAGTTTTTTCCTCCACAAATTCCATCTGCCAGCTCTGGTTTCACGAGGTGCTCTGAACAGTTCTGACGTGCACTGTACGCCGTGGGTCACAGGCTTCCCACGTTTTGGAATGTCTGCGAGTGTCCCCACCCGCCAGAAAACGGCCGGACTGCAGAAAAAACAGTTGTTGGAATCCTGCGCGCGAAAAGAGTGCGCGGAGGGAGGTGGGCTACTCCCCGGCCATCTTCGGAGGAGAACAGACAGCAGTGTTCGTGTTGAGTAACCGTGGGGAGAGGAGGGCAGGGGGAAGGAGGGCGGAAGCAAGGGGAGCGCCGAAGGGAGAAAGAGAGAGAGAGAGAGGAGAGAGGGGGAGAAGAGGGAGCGGAGGGGAAGCGAGGGGAGAAATGGGTGGAGCGAGGAGGGTAGCAAGGGGAGGGGCGGCAGCGCCAGAGAGGAGGAGCAGTGTGAGAGGAGATGGGTATATGGAGTTGAGGACTGGAGGTGTGAGGAGAAAATGGTGGAAGAAGGGGAGAGGAGAGTCGAGGAGGAGGGGGAGAAGGCGAATCACATCAGCAACAGCATTGAGAGGAAGAGAGGGAGTGGCGCGGGAAGAGGAAGAAGGAGCTGGAGGCGTGGAGTAAGGGACGCACGGCTCTGGGTGCAGACATGTCGTGACACGTTGGGTTATACTCTTTTTGGCCGGGTCTCTTCGTCGGATCCCGTCTCCTGGTGTTATCCCCTCCCTTCTCCGTCTGACCACGTCCTCTTCCCACTCCCTCCGTCCCTCCCTCCCTCTCTCCCGTTTTCCTCTCCCTCCAGCATTCTCTCCTATCCCCCATCCTTCTCTTCAACTTCCTCCCGTTGACCGTCTCTTTTCGAAGCTATCCACCCAATCCGTCCTCACCCTCAATCACGAAGTCACAGTTGTCTTGAAAGGAAGGCTGAGCCTCCCCCGTTTTTGCAAGGCCCTTCAGGTATGAGGCGTGGAACGGGAGACGGTGGAGGGGGAGAGGGAGCAGGGGAGAGGAGGACGACGGGCTTGGTCTGAAGAAGGACATCTAATCTGTTAGCGGATTCGTTTGAAGTTTGCTCTCGAGCGTGCACAGCCGCGCGTGTTCCAAGGTCAGTGTTCGGCAGGCTAGCAAGCTACCCTCCAGCTTCTGCAAACAAGAAACTCATCAGCGCAGCCGGCAGCTGGCAGCGCAGTTGCCTCCTATGGAGGGCAGCGTTGTGTACAAGCGGGGCTGGACTATCGACGAGGCTCTCGAGCAGCACCAGTGCCTGATGAGGCCCCCGCTGTTCTCAACTCGTCGCCTCTGCTAAAATTTGCGAATGGTCCAGACATCCGACGTGATTGTTGCCACAACGTGACTCTTCACAGGTCTGGACCTCTTCCCAGGGATCGACTTTCCAACCCGAGCCGTTTTCTGATGGTCCCCGGGCCCAGTGGAGCCGAAACACCCAACATTTCTAATCGTGACTTTTGTTCACGACGAAAGGATGTCAGGGGGGGCGGCGGGAGCAGGCAGGGGACGGGCCTCTTTGGGTCCTCATCGGCGTCCTCTGGCCTGTAGTCCGGCGCAGCCCAGCGAAGCACAGATTCTTGGATATTCTTGGGCGAGCTTTTCGGAGGCAACGGTAGGGGGGGATAGGCACAGGGGGCGGGGGGGGGACGCATCGACCCCCAATCGCCCACTGCTCGCCGACAGGGTCTCGATAGCCCCCACCTGCCCAGGAACGTTCGGACCCACTATTGGAGGCCCATCGCCGATCTATCGGCGACATATCGCCGATTCCAGGTGGATGTGTCCCCCCTTATGCCAGTCCCCCCCCATGTCTTTGTCCCTCAGTCTTGGGGGGGGGGGGGGGGGATTTGCCCCGAGGCGCAGGGCAAGAGGAGGGGCCTGCCAGCCAGCCCCACGCAGCTCCTCAGCAGAGGGCCTGACGCGGCCCCATGCGGGGCGATGCAGGCATGGCTTCCGCCTTGGAGGGGCTGAGACATGGTATGGCATCGTCGAAGATCGAGAGGTCGAGGATCGAGGGTCGAAGATCGAGAGATCGAGGGTCGAGGCTCGAGGATCGAGGGTCGAAGGTCGGTCCTCGATCCTCCGACGAAGAGGCCGACGCGCCGCCGGCAGAGAGAGCCCGCTGCCGCGGGGCGTGCGCGGCTGCCTCTGCCGCCTGCCGCGGCTCTGGCCGCCTGGAGGGCTCCGATTACGGGCTCTCATCCTTGGCGGAAGGCGGCGGAAGTAGAGCGGGGGCGGTGTCGCCGGCGGAAGGCAGACGGAAGCTGGCGGAAGTAGCAGATGCGCCTCCCAAGAGGTGCCGGCATCTCTGGATTCGGGGTTTCTGAGATCGGCCATACAGGCGGTTTGCCCATTTTCTTGAGATTGTGTTTGTGTTAGGGAGGGGGTGCAAACGATGGGGGAGCGTCAAACGTGCCAGCGCAGACCCAGGGCGGAGTGGCCCTGAAGGAGTGGAAAGGTGCAACATCTGTGTTCCGAAGATGGGGTCCTGAGGGACGCGGCCCTCAGGATAATTAGGAAAGGGCTTCCAGGTCGAAGTTGCACTGCTCAAGGCCTCCTCGCCTCAGGGCCCTCTGTCTCGGGGCCCCACAAGCTCCGAGAAGAGCTGCGCTCGAGAAGCAGGCGACGAAGAGCTGAACGAGGGGGCGCGCCCGTGCAGGGCGGCGAGGATGCATCGTGGTATCCTCCCCCCTCCTCCTCCTCCTCCTCCTCCTCCTCCTCCCCCTCCTCCTCCTTCTCCTCCTCCTCCTCCTCCTTCTCCTCCACCTCCTCCCCCTCCTACTCCTCCTCCCCCTCCTCCTCCTCCTCTCCCTCCTCCTCACCCTCCTTCACCTCCTCCTCCTTCACCTCCTCCTCCTCCTCCTCCTCCTCCTCCTCCTCCTCCTCCTCAGCCGAGGCAGCATGAGCTCCAGACCTCCATCGGCGAGAACCACGCCGCGGTGAGGCGGGCTCAGGCGGAGTTCGCGCAGCTCTCCGCCATGGAGTCGGCGGCCGAGCTCCGGAGGGCGCTGGCGGGGATGACCTCCCTGTCCGACGAGGACGGGGCGCGGCCTCCCTTGTCCGCTGGGGGCCCATCTTTTCCAAGCCCTCTCAGCAGGATGAGCGGGTCGAGGGAGAAACATCGACACGGACACAATTGTTCGGAGTTGCGAGGGTTTGTGTATATGCAGCTTGTTCTTCCTCCAGCGGAAGGGGCAGGAGGAGAAGGAGCACGGGAATGGGGGGAAAGGAGAATGACGGATTGGAAGAGGAAGAGGGAAGGCAAGAGGAGCAGGAGTAGGTGAACAAAAAGTATGGCTCTCTCACACACACACACAAACACACACTTCTTCCCAGCAGGCTCGTCCAACTCAGCGAAGGCGTCAGCCATTAGCGTTCAAGTTATTATCACCGAACGTGTGTCGATGGCGCATACATTTCCAGCGTGGGCGTATATATTTGGTGTGAACCATGAGGTGCAAGTTGCGTAGCGCAAGCCATGCGGAATAAGGTCTGTGGCGTCCACGAGGAGGAGGAGGAGGAGGAGGAGGA